CGCACAGATGCATTTTGTTTCTCTGATGCATTGTGCTGTCCTTGCTGTAATCTGAGAGCCACAGCCCTTGGACAGGGCAAGGCAAGGAGTCCATCTGTGTTTCCACAAAAGCTTAGCTCAGTGCATTTTTTGTATTGTGTTGTGGGCCTGGTTCTTGTGGGGGGTTAGATGCTCTCAGTTGTGGATGCTCAGTGTTTTTGCAAGTCACTGTCCTCAGAAGTTGGTGGTTATGGCGTTTTTTTAAAGGGGAAAATAATTTTTCTGTTTTCTTCTCCATAAGCTGAAACCACTAAAGAGCCCTTGCTTAGTTTTCCACACACAAGCACATGCTGATGGGAGCATGAGAGGGACKGCAGGTCTTGGAAGGCTTGAAGTGTGTGAAAAAAGKAGTCCTGATGAAAAGGGTTTTGCARTTTAATTGTTGTGGGTGTGCCTTTGTTTGTGCAAAGAAATGAAAGTGCTGGAGGCCGAAGTGCTTTTTTTATCCTTGGAGTAGTGAGCAGTCCGAACTTCCCTGGCCAGTTCTGCCAAGGTGCCTGAGACCTGCAAGTCCCTGCAGAGCTTTGCCTSCCTGCTCGCTGGGACCCATCCCTTCAGCCATCCAGCCTCGCAGGGCTCTCCAGAAATACCATGTTTTGTTGGGTTCCTGAGTGCCCTTCTCTTAAGTTGTTTGTTCACATCACAGATTCACTGCATTTGGGAAAGCCATCGTGTCCTTTGTCGTGAGAATCATGACTTTTCCTCGGGATGGACCTGCACATCTCCAGGTAGCCGGGGCCTTGTTCCTCCTGCCCACTGCTTTGTCAACTCCTTTGGAGCAGTTCATGAACCCCAGTTGGGTGCCAGGGGGCCAAATGCCCTGCTCCCTTCTGCTCCAGCCTCCYCAGCTACCCCGTGCCCCACAGCAACACGATCCATTTTAAATAGATGCTGTTTGCAGCATCTTGGACTTGCTGTGCGAGCATGAGAAATGTTAACATAAATTCTTTAAATAACATCTAGTAGTGTTGAATGCACAGAATTATAAAACATTTTTATATTCTGAGACTCATTTGCATCTTCACATTAAAAACTGTGGTTTTCTTCTCAGGGAATGGTTGCAAGATCTGATTTGTTTTGAAATCAAAGCTAAATTTGTGTTCTTGCTTTCCTCTTTGCCCTTCATTTGACAAATTTTTCTTGTTCTATAAATACAGAATTGTAAACAAGGGCTAATCCTTAGCAACAACCTGGAAAGTTAACATTTCTCTCCAGCTTCTATTATAATTAATTCAGACACTATGAATATGATGTGATTTACACATAATATTCCTAAGGCCAGGAGGTACTAATATCTTGTTAGAGAACTGAGGAAAAGAACATGCTTTTGTGTGTGCCATATAACATAATTGCACTGCATTTTCTTTCATGAGAAGATGTTTAAAGATGCTTTTTACTTTGCATTTGAAAAATGAAAGGCTTCTGCTTCTGCATTTGGCTGAAATTGTCTTAAATGTGTTTTCCCTCCYGCAGCAGTCAACATTGTCAAAACATTTTGCACAGTACATTTTAATAATATGGGTTAGGGCCATCATTATATTAATTTAATTCTCTGTGTAGGTAAATTCATAAGATGCCTCCACTTTGTCGCAAAAGTTTTTCACAGTAAACATCATCTGTTTTCCCTGTGCAAAAAAGGAAGGGGATAATATAGTTGACAAAAGGATAAATGCCTTGTGTGAAAATTGTAAAAGTATAGCTTGAACAGTTTTTCCCTCATGGTCCACCCTTGTATTTTATTTAATTTTCATTTAATTTTGTTTTGTTCTGTTTATATTTTTTCAGGGAGTGTTTTTGTAGTGTTAATCTATGTAAGCCACATGCAGTTGAAAACTGCAACTCCCAAAAGGCTGTGATTAAAACATTATGGATGTGGCAAACCACAAATGCAAAAGGAAGTTTACGTTTAGATTTCCTTCATAAAATATTTTATTCAAGTTTTGTAATACCTTGGTATCGTGGTCAGCATTGCCATAAAAATTCTGTGTTATATGGAATGATACAATCTGTGAAGCATTTCCCATTATGTAGACACCATGTCTTTAAATTATAGCAATTTCTTAAGATTTTAAAGCAAAATGAGCTCTTAGAAGTGTGATTAATAGCAGGGAATGAGGCTAACACTGGGTCATCAGTGGCACTCCATTACAAAAAAGGTTGGACTAATAAAAGCATCCATCTATTTGACCAATAAAGCATTTGAATGATATGCTTATAGTTTTTATCATAGTGTAGTTACTTTGTACTGAATAAACTGTGATTTTACRTGCTGGAAAAGGAGCGTGGAACAGGCAGCGCGGCTGAGTTGAGAGCAGTTGTCTCAAGTAGGGAAATATCAGGCCTTTTATGTGAAGCTTGATGTTTTCAGAAGCCTTCAGGTTGCAGTGTCTAAATTTTTGAAGCTGCTGTGAAATATCCAAATCCCCCGTGACCCGTGCCTGCCTGCCCACAGTCATTCGGTGAGGCTGGCCCTCGCTGTCCTGCAGGGAGGGGAGAAAGGAGGGTATTGTGTGTAATCATTAATTCAGAGTTAAGTCCCCGGCAGCCCCAGACATCAGAAATACTCTGCTGCAGCACAGGAAATGGGGCAGCACTTCTGTTTTCCTGGTGTGCGGACGCCAACCCCGTCCTCGAGTCGCACCTTTCATCCTGCCTGCTATTATGCTGTCAACCTGATGTATTAAAAAATAGGCAGTTGCCTGAACAATACTGCATTTGGGTTTTATTTAAATACCTGTCTTATTAGTAGGTTGTACTGATTTCATGGTTTTGAACCTTTCTTTTTTTTTCTTTCTCTTTTTTTTTTACTACAACAAAAGGCTAAATATTTTCTGAAATAGAAAACTAAGGTTCTTGGCCAGCTGTGGATGTCCAGGATTGTGCTGTGAAAAAAAGTAACAAATATTCTAAAACTTGTAAAAAAATGATGAGGGGGGAGGCTTCTGGCCATCATGCTGTTTGCACATGAAATGGCAAGGGAGGGGAGATTAGTGCCAGGGCCAGCTGTGACCTTGGATGCTTCACAGATTTGAAACTGGGATGATTTTCCTCAGTGCTTGGCGGTGATGCTGGTGCTCTTCACAAGGTAGGGGTGGAGCAAGGAGGGACAATGGTGCAGCCATGAGGATAAGGGACCCGTGCTATAGCCCTACAGCTACGTCCTCTAACCCCACCTGACTGGTACAGCATCTTAAAGGGCTTTTTTTACATGGGAGAGGTATGAAGAGACCCATGGAGGTCCCATGCAGGGATTGTGTCAGGGCAGGAATGTAACCCRGAGCCCTGGATTAACCTCTACCGTTAGCACCATCCATCTTCTCTCCCTGTACTTCAGATCTTTCCCGAAATCCACGCTGAGGATAGACAACTTACAGAAACCTCCCTGGAGGGCCGTTGCGATAGGAAATTTCTGGGGTGTTACRGGGATGAGAGATGGGGAAGGAAAGGCTTTGTGGAAGGTGACAAACCAGGGGACTCAGCGTCCTGAGCACCTTGAGGAATAATGTCAGAGTGCCTCAGGGCCAAGAGAGGAATGTTGGCTGGGGAGCAGCTGGGGGCCAGAGGGTTTTGGTTGTGAGAAGATATCCAAGGGGTTTCTGGTTAACAAAGAAAAGGTGGGGAGAGCTACAGAGATCAGAGAATGGCGGTAGGAGGCAGAGGCAAGGGGGTTGAGCGTGGGAGAGAGAAAGGCGGGGAAGGAGGGCTGAAGCATGGCTTCACTGCTGCTGCAGGGCCCTGGCATCGCCATGGGTGTGTGTGTAAACTCCACGTGCTCATGGTTGTGCTGGGCAGGTTGGGCTGTGTTGAAAGCTGGCGTTTTGCTTGTTTGTTCTAGGAGTGAAATGAAAATTTTGCACCCCACCTTTTGCAGTTGTTGTTTTTCTGGGGTTTGACTTTTTTTTTTTAATGCAAATGGATCTTTCACATCAGTGGTTTGGCCGGTAAATCTTGTTTTGTGAAACACTTTCAAGTGTTTTCAACTCCTTTCTTTCCCCTTTATCGGAACAGATGCACAGCTCTGTATTTTCCCCTGCTGCCTGTTGTCTTGAGGTTGCACAGCAAGACTGCAAAGGCTTTTTTGTTTGTTGTTGATGAAGGGGAGGAAAAAACCCTCAATCCACAGAAGAGTTAACAGGATTTCACTTGATCTGCTCGTTTATGCAATGAGTAATGCGAGGTTGGTAACAGCAAATTGTTGTTTATAAGCAAACATGGCACTGTGTAAACAAGAAGGCCTGGTCCCCAACTGGTTTGATTTCATGGTGGTCAGCAGCTGATGCATGTAACRTACAACCTTTCTGCTTCTCGAAATGTCAGAAGAATGACTATTTGTTTGTCTTGAGTTCTTCCCAGCTGTTTACTCTGTAATGCATTTGCCTCAACCTTGATTCCCTAAGAGTGGCCCCTTTCTCCTCCCTGCTCTGTTTACATTAGTCCTGCCCCGAGTGTCACCTATGAAATCTGTTGATTATTCCACCTGGTTAATGTTAAATTGCTCTTGCAAGATGATGTGTTTGTTCATAAACACAAATGCTGGGCCCCTTGTTTACTGTACCCATGGCAGCAATCAGTTATTAAACAAATATTGCTTTGTTTGCGGGTGTGAGCAGCAGTTTATCCTGCAAGGTCTGGAAAAAAACCTTTAAATGCTGGGATTTTGATAAAGGAGAAAAAGGGGAGCTTGTCCCTGGAATGTGGCTGAAACTCACTTTGGTTTGCTTTGCTTATCTTTAACTTGGGTGAAGGGGCTAGAAAGATTAGCAAGTTGTTTGGTTTTTCCAAGAGATTTCCTTAGTGTAATGATATCTATCCAGTTGTTTGCTTTTTTCAGAAGGGAGAGAGCACTCCTGCAAGACGACTAGCACAGCGGTAGACGGCTGATGGCTAGAAAATCCTGCATGGAGCAAACAAGGAGGTAGAAGGTCTAGGACAAAGGTATAGGGCTGTGAACCAGGTAATCACTCCAAAAGTACAGCCTTGTGTTCTCTGTCAGCGTTTGGTTGGGGGCTTTTCGGTTTCCCTCTTTCCTCATGGCGGATTTTAATTGATGCATGTGCCCTCGATGGAGTTGGAAAAKGCAAAGCTTTCCGTTTTGCTTCTGAGGAGCTCTGAGGAAAATCTGTTTTAGAAGCAGAGCCGTTTGAATGGAGAGAAAATACCAAATTTGAAAACGCGCTCTGTTGCTCCTCCTCTTGCGAGTGAGATGACAGAGCTGCTTTTCTTCTTTTTATAACTGGAAAACTGCGCTTACATCTGCTAATTTCTCTATGCTGGCTGTTGGTTCTTTGGTTTCTGGGAGTCCTAATTAGAGAGAGCCATCCCGGTAGTTGTTGCTTTTGGGTTGTTTTGAAAACGAGCAAGAAAAACTCGCTCACTCCATCTTTGTTTTTCAAAATTGTTGTTTGTTATTGTTTCTGAGTGGGGCTTGGATTTCAAATGCCAGGCAGGACCTATTAACACTAACAGTAAATGGCTGGGGCTTTTCACACAAAGGGAGTAAACCCTCTTTGAATGACCTTGAGAAAGAAATGTTAATTCCTTTTGTATGAAGGTGTTGTCTATTCCTGTACCTGTGAATTCATTTGTTAAAATATGAATGTGTTGTCTGGTCCTTTATATGTGAATTCTTTTATTAAGATATCTTGAATATGCATTGATAGAAAGGATAAAATTAAATAATTGGCCTCTTCATCCCTTGGAAAAKCAAGCAACAAAATATGCATAATAATTTGATCCACTGTATTCCTAGTTTGCATCAGTGATCCAAACATATTGCTCGTTTGGGCTGCTGGAGCAGTGTCAGGGCTGGAGGGGGTGGAAGGTACCTGGAGTGTRTAAGTGGACAAGCTGGCCATTAATTGACTCGTGTTACTGCCATGAATCAAACCTTTGCTGCCTTGAACAAAGTGAAAATAGCGAAGTGAAAATGGCATTGCGCAGAATTGTTAGAGTTGCACCTGGCTTTGAGGTGGTTTTTGACTTCTGGAGGCTGTTAGAGAGTTTAGATATGCTTTAATGGAGATGTGCATGGAGGGTGGGAGTCYAATTCATCTACAGCCAGCACATGGTACGAGGTTTCGTGTTATCTTGTTGTAGCAGTGCTGCTGCTGTCTGGCACAAACTGACTGTATTTACTAAATGCAACTTTGGTCTTTTATTTGGTTGAATAGTCACCTGTTTTTCTGTGAGGCAGACTGCAAGAGTTTGTGTTGCAAGCTCAGAGCAGCGTGCATGCAAACAAATAAGTCCTGGCTGTGAGAGCAGCTCTGCAGTTTCTGTTCCTGTTGTGCACGGAACGGCAGGGAGCCCCACTCTCTTCTGCGATGCTGGGCTGGGATCAGCAGGTGGGTACCTCCCCAGGGACACTGGCCACGGGGCCAGCACCCTGCCAGCTYTGCCCTCACCATGCTGCACTTGTGACCTTCCTTCTGGAGGACTCCCTGCTCCGGTGCCATGGTGCTGGTGTCCCCGTGGTAGCAGTCAGAGTCGTGCGGCGTACTGAACTATCGCTTCTGCCTTGGCTTGGGGTTTTCCTTGGCCATTTGCCATTCCTTTCCTTCCAAACAAACGATGATCCYGGTGATGGTAAGGATGATTTCTGTCAAGCTCACGGCTGAAAGACAGCTCTCCCCAAGAGGGAGGAAGGAACCTCACTCTGCCGATGATGGTATGTAAATGATTACATCATATTTGCCAGTCACTTGGAAGTGGCCCAGCTCTGGAGCTTTTATGCAGCTATGGCATGAGCTTCATGCTGAATATGGATTTAATAGCTGTCAAGCTGAGAGGCATAGATTGAGATAGAGCTGGCTTTGCAAAGGGGGTTTGTTTATCCAAGGTGAGACTGGGAGTAACTTCTGTGTGCCTGTGTAAAATGAAGGGAGAAGGCAGAAATCTGATTTGAGGAAAGTTGAATTGTCTATTGTCTGTCTAATGCTTTGGGTTTTACCTCATGGAAGGGAGCAAGACTTGTCTTCACAGCTTGGTATGTTTTATTGCACTGGTTTTTCATGGGGACCAGTTCCAGCTCTTTTGAACAGAGCATATGGCAACCTTTTAAGGTCTGTTTTGATTAATTCTTCTTGGATTTGCTTGATCTCTGTTCTTACTGTTTGTGGTCAGCAACACCCTCAGCAGAAGAGACTTCCTTAGGGGTAACTGCACTGACTGGTTCTTTGAGAACTTAAGTTGTTTGACCATGATTTCACAATAAGTCAGTGTGGCACAAGTGGGATTAGGCTCCTGATTCTCCTTCCCTTCTCCTCACCGCAGCAGTCTTAAATTTCAGCTCCTGCAGAGCATCAGTCAGCCTTTCACTGAGCTGACTCCAAATGATTTCAGGTTGCTGTGGCCCTGATGATAACGCTCTGCTGCTGGAAAGAAGGAGCCCAGTCAGTGTGAGCTACACACCCCAGCGGTGAAAGAGGTTGTGCTGTTTTATGTAGTTAAATCAATAAAAAATTGTGGCTATCTGCTTGTAGACAGGAGAAGATGAAGCTGCTGTTCAGGAGGTTTGAGGGTGGCAAGTGGACATAACCCATAATAGTGGTAATAAGCCAGGCTGGTCATCACCATGACCTACTGGGTGGACATGAGGCGACCTGTGTCCTTCTTCTGCTGGCCCAGGAGTTGTAGTGCACCACTTTTGGAAAGCACTGGCTTTTCATTCACTGAATTTAGTTCAGCTTCACATTTTCCTGCTCCTTGCTCTTCTGTTCTCTCCCCATAGCTTTGCATCACCAGGCAGCTCTGCCCCAGCATCAGGAGGGTAGGAAAGGGGAGCAGCCCTGTGTAAGCCAGGTGCCAGGGCAGTGGCCTGGCCCACAAGGATGCGTCAGGAGCAGTGTGATCTGTTTCCCTTTCCGAGGAGGCYAGCACATCCCCTCTGCCATGTGCCYRAACTCCACCAGCCCAGGGCTTGGGATGAGTCCAGCCRAGGTGAGAGCATCAGGAGGCAGAGCCAAGGATGCACTGCAAATAATCCCATTTCTTCTGGACCCTTTATTTCCTAAGCACTAAATGAAATTTCAGATTTTAGATAYGTCTAGACATATACAGTGCACGATAAAGTTGATAATACATTAATCATTTTTAACAACAGGTAATATGCATAATTTATGGTGTTACAGTGCTATCTTTTTTGATATTTATGATGGATAATGCTCAGTTTTTGCCCTCATATTACTGCTTTAAATTATACCACAAGAAAATTAATGAGAAAGTAGATTTATGGCTTTCATTTGTTTGTCAATTCGGAAATTAATTGGGTGTTAATTTTAGCCGTCCCTCATCAGACCAGGTCTTTAGTATGTGTGCATTACTTTGCATTCATTGAAGCCTACCTCCCATTTACTGTGGGTCACTAGCTTTGCATACATTAAAATAGCCCTCAGGCTCATTCTCTTGATTACTTTTTGAACTGCCATGCATTAGAAAATTTACGCCTTTCTGTTATAATTATGAAAATTCTCTATTGGAAGATGGTGCTTGCATAACAGCAAGTGTACAGCCTTGCTCGGCGACGTATGATCATATAGCAAATCCCAATACGTTTTTGTTCTAATCCTAGAAAATAGCACTCTCGACAATCTTTGTTGTGCGAGTTTCATCCTTTGAAATTTCAAGGATCCATTTTAATGCATTGAATTACCTCTTTAAGCTGAGGAAATATCAAAGGATTTCACCTCGTCGCTGTCTCTTTGTTTCCTCTTTCCACACATCCCGTGCRTGTTCCTTCCCTTGCCTTGCTCCAGGTTTGCCTCTCCTCCTCCAARCCCCGCTGTCAGACGTGACTCAGCATCACTTTTTAGGACAGCGAAGCCTGATTTGCTCTGTTTGCTACTATTTTGGTTGATTCTCAAAGATGATCCTTAATTGCACTTTGAATCCCCTTCTCCTTTCTCCTACTCCTGCACAATTCARCAACCACCAGTAGTGTGTAGGCGAGTGGCCTTCAAAGGGGTAAGCATGAAGTTTTATCCAAAAAGTACCCTAATGTACTGACAGTTGATCTATAGTTAGTTAGTACATAATTATACCTAAAATACACCCTGTCAGCAGGATAAATGACGGCTACTGAAAACTCTAAAAGCATGACGGGTGTTCACCCATCTGCAATGACGAGAGCGGAGGGGTTTGTAAGTTGAGAAAGGCTGGTGAGTTCAGCATGATCTGATTTAGTTAAATCATGCCATATGTTGGGATAGCTYTTTCTAATAGTCGTGCTAACCACAAACACAGGCAAAGAGAAGTCATCTGGTCCACCTGGCTGGTTTGGACTCCCCTCCCCGGCGTTATTTCTGCACTTAGCATGGTGGCAGCCCTTGAGCTGCTCGTGTGAAGCTGGCTGATTCACAGTTAATTGTGACATGGTGTAATTTACTAAATGAGCAGCTGAACATCTGTACGCCTTCCCCCACGGCACATCGAGCCTTACCTTACACAAGGCTTTTAATTTCCACTAGTGAATCCTTTTACTGAACTCATGGATGGCGGGATGGCGCTGCTGGCTGCCTCGCCAGCCTAGGCACGGGGTGTGGGCTGCAGGACATGGGTGTTCTGCCATCGGCTGGGGCACATGGAAACATGTTCCTGCCAAAATTCGCTACTGCTGGTGCAGTGTGGAGCCTGAGGCGCTTTCCCTGGCAGGGCACTTGCTCCAAAGATACCGAGACTGAAAGAGACCACCTGTGAGCRGGGCAGGGGTCTCCAGGGAGAGCTGTCGGGTCCTCGTTGCGGATCACGGCGGTGCCAGGCTCTGGTTTTGCAGGGTGTTTGTCCCTGTGCTGGGGGAAGCAGCAGCTTTGCTCCTGCTCTCYGGGTTTCCTTGCAGGTCGCATTCCGGAGCACGTTTCATTTCCAAGAGGTAAAATCCTATCTTTGCGGTGTACATTGTTGTGAAATGCTTCCAAACAGTGTTTGGGATTTTTCGTTTTGGGTTGTTTGGTTTTTTTTTTAAATAATTACACAGATTAGTGCCTGAAGTTATTCCTGAGCCTGTTTTGGGGAGCTTCTTGTGACAAGTAGGTAGAACTTTTATTTATAAACSGTGTATGTATGGATAGAATGCCTGCTAGAGAATTTTGGGCTAGATCGTGTGATTTGATCACTCACTTAAATCTGATTTTAGCACCGACTCTTCTGCCTATAAAAGTAGAAATACATTTTATAAATCTGTGTTGTGTTTAATTTACATGTCCTTTCATGGCTGGGCCAAGTTCTTTAAGGGCATTTATTCTGCTTCATATAAATAATTGATCAGCCAAGTTAATTTACTTCTGCCTGACTTGGTCAACCTTAATTAACTGCCCTGGAATAAAGACTGAACTTTTTGTTAGCTTAAAATCTTTCACAAATGTGGCAAAGAAGGGTTGTATTATGACAACATTTTTGCTCTAGCACTGATCCCCGGGGATAGAAATGCCTAATGATCTTTATGTGCACATATGTATTTGTAAACACCTCCAAGTATTAACATGTGAAATATAATCATCTGCCTCAGAAGAAACTTTGAAACACACAGGCTATGTTGTGAATCTGTAGTCCACAGTGAGTCTGGAAGCATATTAAAACAGAGATTTTAAGGCCAGAAGACCCTAGGGATGGTTTTTTAAAGGTGATGACATGCTTAAAGATACAGATCGGTGCTTATTGAGGAATCTTAAAAATGTCTCACCAATGCCTCTGTGTATGGTGAGGCATCTAAAGACATCTGAGTATCAGTCCCTTAGTCTTTCAGACTTGGAGTGGGTCCTTATTCTGACAGGTGCTTCAGTCAGTAAATCCTCCYTCGTGCTGACATTAAACAATGCTGCTTAGTCTTCAGAAACTGTACTGGTAGCAGAATTGCAGCAGTGGCACACTTGAGCGCCCACCTCCTGCCTACTAATCTCCATGCTTAACCTTGCTCATCTTAATAGGCCAGTGGAGCTGAGATGTGTATCGGCAGCATCTGGTCTTGCCGATGTTACGGGCTTTATGGACTTACTTTTCATGCATTAGCAAAAAACCTTTGCAAAATTAGGATTCCTTTAGGTTCTTTTTTTTTTTTTTATCTGAAAACACTTGACACTGGAGTTATCAGAAAAATTACTTTGATTCAGTCAAAGTTCACGTCTGACCCATGTTTTCTCAATTTTGACCACRTCCTTAAGAAATTGGTTGTCTCCTGCTTCTCTCCAGGTCATCTGGAAGATGATTAGCTGTTGTCCTCCTGTTGACAGAGTGCCTTCTTTTGATTTCGCTTCACTGAAATTTTGCTCCATTACCTTGAACGTAACATATTCACCAAAGAGATGGGCCCCGATATAGGGCTTTGACTTTGTGCATCAAAGCTAGATAAAGTTTTGTGCAGGTCARAATGGGAATCTGGAGAAACTGATCACTGTTCTGAAATTTTTAAACCAAGCTGATGTTGTGTCAGAGCAGTTCTTTCATTATATGCCTGTGGATTTCAGGATAAAGTTTCACAAGCTGCTGTTGGTACTGCAGCTTACCTTTGGTCGCTTCACAGGGAAAAACATCTTGTATCACCTTTAATAATTCAGAGTCATAACATGAAATACCGTAGATTTTTTCAAAATGTAGAAAAAAGATACTTACACTGGTAACAACCCACATATTTTAAGCTTCAAAAATGCATTTTCCTATACAGAATTGATACGAGAATGATTCTGCTTTCTAGGACACATCAGATGGACAGGTTCTTTTGCCATTAAATTTCTTAAGTTAGAACCAGGTCTCTTGCATGTCATGGAAGCAGTTGTGGAGTATTGTTATTATTTCTTACAATAAATCATTATGCATAACAGCTTCTCCAGCACTGTGTTGGTTACTTGGGGTTGTATTCAGACCAAAATCAGGGTTTATGATATTTTACCTGGAGTTTCAGTTCAGTTCCCACAGAACCTAATTATGTTGCATAAAGTCAACCTCGCTTTGCATTTTTCTTTCACAGTTTTGAATRACAAACTTCAGTAATAGGCTCCTGTAAGTTCATCTCCTCTGTGCTGGGAAGAGACAATTATCTCAGCCATCCTCGGTGTGCGATCACCTCAGCTCATTTAGGTGTGCTCAAAAAGACAAATAATAATCATTCTTGCAGAAAGCTCTCACAGGTTGATTTTTCATGACATGACACTTAATGATCAAACCAAACTGTGATTATTCATGTCAACTCACATTTGACTTCAGTGAAGAAATAAACAGTTTTATCTTTCTTTTTTCCTTTGAAATACCTGTTTTCTATCGGAGGTATTTTAACAAAGTGCTTTTGTTTTGTGCAGGCATCCAGTTTAAGTTATCTTGAAGTTGACTGCTTGTAAATAGGTGTTTTTAAAGCAAAATTTGCGTAAAGATGTTCACTTCTGCTTTTAAAATAAATTTTTTGGAAGTTCAAACATGGTCCCTAGGCAAGCTCTGTTTCCAACTTTGTTTCTTTGGTAGCTGCTGCCAGTTGTGCTGGACAGGATCCATAGAGTGGTCATGACCACCACAGGAGCCAGAGCCCTGTGCAGCTGAGCTGGTAACAGGCTGTGTTCTTCTAAAGGTAAAACAGAGCATGAAATTCGTCATGGAAAAGGTTCTCAAGAACTATGATCTTTTTCTGTGACCAAGTGCAATAAATAATCCATCTTTTTCTTAGTCCTATAGGTTGGAAAAATGGTAGCAATTTCTACTGTTTTTTCTTTCCARGAGCATTTTGCAGTCCTAGAGACAGTAAATAATTTCTTGACCGGTTTGGTTGTGAATTATTTTCTGTGTCCTGGAGATATTTCGCTCGGAAGGGCAAGCCAACAAATCGTGATCAGGCAGTGATGGATCTGCTCCTCAGTGGTGCACATTCTTCTTGCTGCTGTCAGAGCTTTGCTTGGTGCTTCCTCTGACCCTACTGCTTGTTTATCCAGGTTCTCGCTTCCAATTTGTTGCATCAGAAGTGCTGGAAAATGAGATGTACTTCTTTACCACGTTCCAGCACATGGGTTTTAGCATCTCTTTCAACCACAGTGGCTGCTGGAGGCAGCTTCCACCAGTTCTTGATTGAGTCCTTCCTCCATCAGCTTTGGTCTGTGGGGTGGGGATGTTCCACCCATTGTTGCTGTAGTGCTCTAAAACATTCAAAGGCATGAATTTCTGGGTTTAACCTTCAGTCTTTCCTGGGTTGGATGATCCTTGTCCTCATTTGCTGCTGRGGTAAATTACTGTAATGCTTCATTTTCTCCGCTTAAGACCTAACTCCACATTTGGGTGGAAGCAGAGGACAGTGACATCAGTTCTTTCTTTTTGATTTGTCTTGGGGTAAAAGAGGTAAATCCTTTCTTGTAGTGYAGCATATAAAAATTGCCTGGTGTATCTCTGAGTGACTTGTGAGCTGTCTGTGGGTTCTCACTCCTGTCTCTTCTTCCACAGCAGCCTGTGCCATGCAGTCGCTGCCTGCTGTGTTATCCAGCTTTGCCTGTTAGATGTAAACACTTATTTAGACCTTATCGTGCTTKTGGGCTTTCCTTACACTGCTGAAAATGAAAACCACACCATACTTGGTGTGTATCAGAGCAGGATCATGTTAAAATCCAAAAGCACGCATTAGTGGTGTTGGGAAAGCTGTAGGTTTGTTTAAATCTCTGGAGCTTTTACAGGGGAGTTGACAGAAGCTTTATGATGAGTCTCCAAGCCCTTTTGTCCCCTGGCATAATTTGAAGATTTAACAAAACAGATTGAAAGAAGTTTCTGTAGACCAGCTGAAATTTATTTGAATGTAATCAGGATGTTTGAATCTATCCCACTACCATCCATGTGCTTGGTTTACTAAATTCAAACGGGTTCTTCCTTGAAGATAAAGCATCTTCTGAGRTGAACGACCCTGCATAGGGACATTGGCTCACAGTCCATGTGTTTAGTGTGGGACAGGCCATGTGCTTGGGACACACAGTTTGGCTTTCCATACCCCATCTGCCCTGGGTGAGGGTGAGAGGAGCACAGAGGGAGGGAGGGATGGGCTGGTGGAGGCCAGGCAGGTTAATGGCATTTAAATCCTGGAAGCTGGTGGAAATACGTCCAAGACAACTCATTACAGTATCTCCAAGTTAGCAGTTCACAGCTGAAAACTGGCATACGTGCTTTGTGTGGGGAGTCATGTGCGCAAATGCTGATGTTAGTTCCTGAAGGTGTGTAAACCCCAGAAGTTCTGTGGTAAGGAGGTGAGCACTTGTCCTCGTTGGTGGCTTGTGACCCAGTGACATTGCTGATGAAGACAAAGGGTAAAGCACCCAGGGACAGGTGTCCACCAAGAGTCAGTGGAGAGGAGCCGTGGCTGCTGAGATGATGTTTAGCCAAGTAACACAGGAGGCTCCTCGCTGTAATGCCATAAGAGCATCCAAATCCAGACCAAATCCATAGCCAAATAYTAATTCTATGAGCAGTTGTGGCAGTTCTCCCCAAATGAAAATTGATGATGTTCAGCACATCCCAGACTCATCCTTAAGTGCTTCAGAGTAATAAAAAGTGCTAATTCGACACTATTGTGGTGTGAGTGGAAACTAAAATAGTGAATGCTCTGCTTTACCTCCCTGCCTATACAGTATGTATATCACGTTTTTGATATTGTCCATCATATGTTGCCAAGAATGACTCATCCGTTTCAAAGGAAAGCATCCAGATGTAACTAGAGAAATTTAATTATGGATTCTGTGTGTTCGTTCAAAAATATTTTTTTTTCTCTAAGGGAAAAAAGATGTTGAGCAAATAATACTATATTTAGAAGAGAACTAACTTACTAAAATTATRGCTGTACCAATGGATAAATAAACATAAACTAGTAGCATGAACATTAATGAAAGATAAATCGTATGAAGGAAAATGACATATGTTTACAGTTTTGGCAGGATTTAAAACAGGGCATGTCTCCTTATATACAGCAACTGTTTTAACAGCTTTTTTTTTTTTTTTTTTTTTCCCCCCCCCTCCCCTAAATTATTTCAGGTTTTTGAGTCATGATGCAAGAATCTGGGACTGAGACAAAAAGTAACGGTTCAGCCATTCAGAATGGAGCGAGCGGTGGCAACCATTTACTAGAGTGCAGCCTGCGGGAAGTGAGATCAAACGGCGAGACACCTTCCGTTGAGATTGGGGCTGCAGATTTAGCACATCTCCAGCAACAGCAGGTACTGTAAGACACATTACAAGTTCCCTACCTACAGGAAAAGCATGAAGCATTTAACCCTCCCCCTCTCCTCCCAAAACCCCTGCGTATTTGCCAGGCAGAGGATGCTTTTAGGACTTGCCTGTGACATTCTGCGTGTTTCTGTCCGTAGGGGATCGTAGTCGTTGATGTAAAGGGAAATGTTGGGCTTCTCTTCCGGGGCTCCTTTTTAATCATTCCCTGAAAACACCCAAAGATCAGGGCTTGCTTCCGTTGCCTGGATGTGTTGAGTCTGGTGGAAGCGATTGGGTGAACTGCTGTATAACTGGTTTCCAAAATATGTCACTGGGTGGAAAATACACTTAACGTGAAGTTTTGTTTTTGCAACAAATTTTAATATAACCTAGCAACCTCTATCAACAGAATGTTTCCTATTAGTGAGGAAGGCTGCGGAGGTATCTGCTCCACAAAACRTCAGAATAAATAAATAAATACATCCATGTTAGTGCTCCTCAACTCAGAAGAATCAGAACCAAATTGTGCGTTTTGCCTTGGTATTWTAATTAGTATATTTTCTGGGAAGTGACCAAGTTCACCAGTGTAAATTATCCGCATAATGCGTTTCGGCTTTTTCTTTTCCCTGATAAAATTCTGAAGCCCTCTGAGGAAATTTTACACCAAAGTGCTGGGCATGTATCATTAATGTGTTTGGGAACAAAGGCTGCAGCAGAGCCATGGTGAATACACTCATGCCTAGCCCTCACTTTCTCTAATGCAATAAGGATTCTTAAAACCTTTTAAACAAGCGATTGGCAGCTGGTTAAGACTCCCCTAAGTGTRCAGTGATCTTTTTAGCAGGTTGTTTTGGAGCAGAAAAAAATCTTTGCTCAAAAACAAAGCAAAGTGAAGTCTTGAGGAGGAGCAGGCACCCCATTTGCCAGCCTAAGACAGAAAGCTGCCATAATTAAACAAGTCARAAAAATGGATGATACTAAATGCACAGACTTTGGTTGTTTCAATCATTTTCATCCTACAGGTTTTTACTTGAAGTGAGAATACCATCAGTGAGAAAATCACAGCCATGCTGAATTCATTACTGCAGTAGTCACACAAAACCACGGATAAAATTTCAATAACTGCAGGCCACAGTTGAGTAAACAGTTGCACTGAAACTTAATTCCTGTTGACTTTTCCCTCATTCTTTGCCAGGGGCACATTCTGATTCGTAGTGCAAAGACAACAGGGGTTACAGCTTTGATTAATATAGGACAGTAGAAGAGGAGTGGAACAGTAAAATATGTTCAACACAAAGGTCTCGTCTTAAAAAAGGCTTCGTATCAAAATGAGTTAATTACACTGTGTTTTCCATAGGAGCACTATGGAATTTTCCAATGAGGCTTTGTGCAGGGAGAAGCAGGGAGGGGGATCATGCACACATGTGCACACCGTGGACCAGAATGGCTCAGAGCTCTGCTCCTCCACCTCTCTAACCCTGTGCCAGGCTCCTCCGCAGCCATCCCGAGGGCTCAGGATGTCTCAGGCAGTGTTGTCACCTCACATGTAATGGCTTGTGTGATTCAACAGCCGCCCATTGGGTCAATTAAGGAGTGGCACCATTCATTCCTCCCTCTCCTCCAGCCCTCCCCAAACAGTGCCCAGCACAGACCCGAGTGCTCAGGGCTGGGRACGGGATTGCCAGGCTTGGGATTGCTTTCACACAGATCAGATTTTAGCACAGAGTTTATTTATCCTCTGCCAGTACACTGAATGTGGTCGGGGATCTTGCTTTTCTCCAACTTCTTCAAAGACCTTTATGTTCTGTGTTTGAATTCTGCTGTTAATTGGTTTTGATGACTAACTTCTCCATGGAGTTTATCTTTTATAAAGCGAGTTGATTGCAAAGTTTAAAACAGTTATTAAATAAAAAAAAAAACCAGCCAACAAGCCAAATCCTGATAACAATAAGAGTGTAATCAGAGCTAGCATAAAAATATCAATCTTGGTGTTTGGAAAACATTTTTAAATGCTGAAAAGAAGAAAACCCCGTTGTTTTCAGACAGCTAATGCAAGCATTTACAGATACACATACAACATGGAGCATAATGTTTAGATGTTTCTCTGTATACAACATATGCTCCCAGGTCACTTAACAGAATGCGTTCTACAAAACACTCCTTCAATACAAATGAATGAGTTCTGAATTAAACAGCTATTTCTTAAGAGCATTTCATTCAAATCTTTTCATTTTGCCACCTGGCACTTGTTTTGTCTGAAAAAAAAAAAAAAAAAATCAGTGGTGGGTAGTTTTAGCTTTGTTGCTGTGGTAAGTTGTGTGTTCCCATGATGAGTGTGGCAGAGCAGTGAAACCTGCATGTACAATGGCCTGTGAAAGCATCTGTGCTGAAYTTAGGGTCACTTTTTTGTGACATTTATGAATTTATAAGGGCTAATAGCTTTGTTAGTATGAGAGAGGAAAGCAGAAATACTTGAGGGGTTTTTTTAGGAAGTTTTAATGGGTTTGCAAACTTGTAAATATTTTACCATGGAAAAATATGGAGCACCACAGATGTTCATATGTTTGCAGGAGCAGTGTATGRTGTGATCACTCTTGTTGTGAGTTCAGGCAGGACTTGTAGGACAAGTTTTATGCTTCCCCTGTCATGTTAGGGTGATTCTGCCATGCAAGRAGACAGAGAGTGATGTGATACTCAATTATTTTAGCATTAGCAATCTCGTAAAATAYACTGTTAAGCTGGGAGTAGCAAATGTTGGGATGAGTTCTGCTATTTATAATAAAGCCAAGTAACTCCAACTGATGTTTATATTGGTGAAGTAAGAAAGGCAGAGCAACACAAGTGACTCCTCAGGGACAGTACGTCTGTGGAAGAGTTGGGTAAAAGTAGAAATGCATCTAGAAGTCATCCTTAGAAACAAGCCATAAGGGAAAGAAGACTTTYTCTCACAGTGTTTTGGCACCTGCTGTGGGTGGGAGAGGTGGCCTTCCCCCTGCTGCTGACTCCACAGGTGCCAGAGGTCAGCATCTCATGGTGATGACTGTCAGGATGAGGTGGAGTGGGCCGGGCTTTGGTGACCTGCTCCTTTTGTCTTGAGTAGGTGTGAAGGTTGCCTGGGTCACTGGACATCCTGAAGAGATGGAGCAGGCATTTGGTATGGGGTCAGGTAGTGGGGCTGAGGGGCTTTGGAGCAGGCATTTGGAATGGGGTCAGGTAGTGGGGTTCAGGAACTTTGGAGCAGACATTTGGAATGGGGTCAGGTAGTGGGGTTCAGGAGCTTTGTCCGAGAGTGCCCACGGAGGCGGAACTGAGTGACAGAAGACCTGGGAACAGGGTACTGGGCAGAGTCTGGCAACATCTGCTGGCTCTGAGGCATCATGAAAAACATCTGGGAGGTGGAGAATGGGTGTCAGAGGGACCCACAGGCTGAAGGTCAGGCTGGATGAGGGAAGTTTGGGCAGAAGGTGTGTAATGATGGGGCAACTCCTGCCTACCAAGCAGTAATGAATAAAGGCTCATGGGGACAAACTGCCTTTTTATGTACGTGATCACAGCTGTAGTTGCTTCAGTGGTTTCTGACGTCTACTCAAATAGAAGGTTTGATGCCTCAGTCCTAGACAGTTCCTTTTTTTATTTTTAAAGCTTATAAAATAAATATTATTTATCGCATTTTATTTTTATCCTCAGGACTATTCATTAAAGTGTTCTTCACGTTATTAGCAGCGAAACAAGACTATGAATTGAACAAAGAGAATGATTACAAAGTTGAATCCTGATGTATAGCAGCAAGACACCAAGTGCTGTGTTGCATGGTGGCAGAAATACAAACCTCTCCACATCAATAGCGAGATCCACTTTGATACCGTTAGCTTCAAGTACTGCCCCACGAGTATAAAACTCAGTATCTTTGTCTAATCCAGAATGCTTTTGAACTTTGAGGAGGTATGACTTTAATAGTAATTTGTTGACAGATTAGCTGCAGAGATTGCAAAGGGTTTATTTTGCAGAACTGGCAGGCTCCTATCAGTGTTCTCTTAAGGAAAAAAAAAACACACACTGCTGTTTTGCAATTGCTTGCATTTATTGACAACCTGCGCTGAGCAGGCAGAATTGGAATGTTTGGATAATGTAAACCTATAGCTTGTCTGATGGAGTRTAGTGTACTTTTAGGTAGTGCATAGATTGCTTGATAAAAAGGGTTACAAGGTGGCCGTGTTTATGACAAATTGCAGTAGCGATACAAACGCAATATTGGTATGTGGAGAAAGAGGGAGGAGGTTTATATGAAGAATGGTGGGGAAGTTTCTTTTCTTTGCTTCGTCTTTGAGCTGAACTATACTGTAATTATGAAGTGTCACTTCAWGCTTTCTGAAGAATTTAGATAAATACTGGTTTTGCCATGTGTCCACCAAGTAAGGAAAGAGGGGGATTTTCYCTGATAAAAAATGATGGTGTTATATCCTGTTTTGTACTTTTATTCCAGTAAATGTACGCAAGGGAAAAATACAGTTTTGTTCATACATGAAAGAATGTTTGATAGACAAAAGAAATTTGGGCTAGATTCTGGTCTGTGCCCAAATCAGTGACTGCAGCTGGGCTGTTTGTGGTGTCGATGGGAAGATGCCACTGTTGGGCCCTTTGGCAGTAGTTGTTTCATGAAACGTTGAGATGTGAATTGTTAGATTGAGGGAATCAAACTCCAGAGGGAATATGTGGGTTCTTCAGATTTTGTTCATGTTCAAAGACAAGGAAAATGTACAAGAAATGGGGGYTTTGGTGTATTGTTGAGAAGCTGCTTTAATTGGGCAGATCAAAAAGAAGATTTGACTAGAAAGAAATCTGAATATATCACAGTRTAAATGAAAGAAATGCTTTTTTTTTCCTTTTTTTTTTTTAAACTGGTGAGTTTCATGTTATTTCGCAAACCCATGAGGAGAGGTTACAGACTGCATCAGGAGTTTTACGGTCCCATTGATCATGATGTGGACTTATCTCTGTAGAGCAAAAC